CCAAGCATCTGGTTCTCGTCCGGTTTACTGCTAGTATCTGATTGCTAATGATCGTTCTTTATATAGTACTGTCGAAGATTTGTACTATCTCTCTACTTGAGACTTGCCAAGCAGGATTCTGTATACCCCAGCCCTTTGGATTTATACAAATATTTCATTCAGGTTTTGTATAACTTTTGTGTTATACTATAGTTCTACGTTCTTTTAGTACAAGTTGGTATGATTAAAGCTACAAATCAGATGATTCATCAAATTATACACAGTCTGCCATAACATATTCTATAAAATTTGAATTTTAGCACTAGTAGGATTTGAACTTTTGTCCTGCTGCTTGAAGGTGTGACAACTTATTAACTGTATTATATTGTCACATTCTAAGCTTTTTGTTTTTATTTAAATTAAAAAATATTATTATATGATATTTTATTGTTTAACTTGTTAACAGTTTTTATTTGTTAAATATTTAAAGTAAAAAAGATATTTTTAATAATTATAATAAATTTTAATTTTATATTTCTAAATAATTTTTAATTACTTTGTTTAAAATTTTTTTTTTATATCTAAATTTTATTATAAGCTTAAATGTTAAATATTTCTATCTAAAACTTTTAATACTAAGTAAATCACTCTTAAGCTTCTAATAAAAGTTGTAAAGCTCATCAAAATATATTTAATATTATAAGAATATTAAAATTAAACTAGTAGTTCTTAAAAAATCTTTAAAAAACCTTTTATTAATATATAAAATTTCTTTAAAAAATTTTATATACAGTATTAGTAAAAGGTTTTTTAAAGATTTTTTAAGAACCACCAAACTAATTTTAATATTCTTATAATATTAAATGCATCTTAATGAATTCTACAACTTTTATTAAAAGCCCAAGAGTAATTTACTTAATATAAACAAAGTTTTAGATAGAGATGCTGCAAATTTAGGCTTATAATAAAATTTATATATAAAAAAGATTTTAAACTAAGTGAATAAAAAATTATCTATTATATTGTTCTAATAAAAATAATAAAATTTAGTTATATAAAATATCTCTATTTAGTATAAAGTTAACAATAAAGTTAATAGAGCTTAATAGTATTGTAAATAAAACTAATAAAATCAATAAAACTTTTTTTAAGATAACTATTAAGCTTCATTAGCTTTATTGTCAACTTTGATTTGATATATTGTTTATAATAAACTAACAATTACAAATAATTATTTCAAAAATTCATTTAACTGTTTTAGTATTCATATATATTCATAATATATCACTAGTAAAGGAAGTCTGTAAAAAGAAAACCTGTGAATAATTGTCAAATAAATGCAACAAATAAAAGATAGCTACCTGCAATATAATCATAAAATTCAAAATTGAACAGTCCAACTAAATAATAAAACTTCTAGTAACGGTTTCTCAATAACCACTAAGCCGAATTCAATGAACTTTTTTTTATTTTAATTCTACAAATGTATAGGATCAAAATAAAAAAAAAATTGCTAAATTTGATCGAATAATTATTGAGAAATCTTCGCTAGCAGTTTAAAGAAGTCAAAATTTTCTAGTATTCATGTGTATTCATGATAGTATTCATGATTTATATATTAGTAAATAAGAGATAACAACGCTTTTCAAATTACTGTAACACACCGGAAATCAGGAATCTGGAAAAAATGCCAACCTATGATTGGTTCAAAATTTATTAGAATAATTTTTAGATAATCATCATAGATTGGCATTTTTTTCTAGATTCCTGCGTGGAATTTGCTGGTCACAGTAATTTTGAAAAGCGCTGTAAATGAATTCTACAGAATATGACGAATAAAAGGTAGCTACCTATAACATAATCGTGGAATTCACGGGATTTACGTGATTCAAAAAAAAAAAATGATCTGCAAAATTGGCATATAAATCGAAAAGAGCGATAATAATGCACATCAAAATATACTGTATATTTATTATAAATAAGAAAAAAAACAAACATCTCTATCCATAACGTGAAAATTTCAATTTGATGCAAATCTTTCAGGCGCAAATTTGCCAGCATACCTTGCTAGGCAAATATAATAAAAAAATCGTGAAGCGTGACTACATATGTATAAAATATTGCACATAATCAATAGTAACACTTCTTCATATGATTTTATTCTTGAGAATAATTTAGGCGCATTCTTTTTCTGAAATGAAAGATTGCTACTAATCAAAATCAATGATATTCTATGTAAATCTTTCCTTAAAGATGATTTAAATTTTTGATGTTGTAGTACGTACTATGTAAAACGAGCCACATACATTGCTACGTACGTACGTACGTATACGTATATGTTTTTTTTTTTTTTTTTAATCCCAATATATTAATATTGTTAAGACAGTTATCAAACAAAACTTGTTTATCGATTTTAAAATATTTAAGGCAAACAAATCCTTTTAGAGATGACTATGACATTCTGCGCAGCTCGCTCAAATCTTTGTGCGATTCCTTTTTTAGTATGTACAGTACAGTATTCCTGTTTACGAACTTTAGGATCACAATTAATTTTAATTTTACAGTTTAGTCTCCACCCATAAGCATAACCTTTGCCACCTTTTGGCCAGCCAGGACAAGTTCCATGTGTTCTATTCTTTTTTGCTGTGCCTTGTTTTTTTAAAATAATTATTATTAAACAGTAAAAAAAAAAAATGATAGTAGGATAACATCATGTATGTCTTGCCTTTTTTTATAGCATCCCTTCTTTTCTTACTTAACCTTTTCGATCTTTTTACAGGCGACCTTTTTGGATCTTCAAATGGCACATGTAACACTTTATGTGGTACAAAATTGCGCTCCCATGGAGTTTTCGATTGCATGATCACTTCCGACGAAGTTACCATTGTATCGATAATTTGTTCGAGTCTTTCTGCTTTACACCTTAAGTTAAGGTAATTGGATTCTTAATTGAATTAGATATACGGGATATAACAACAATGATCATTTTTAGATACTTCTGAATTTTAAGTTCATCAACCTTCGCTTTAACGATTCCAACTTGTTTACTGTAATCTTTGACATCATTAGCACTAGGTTCTAGAGAAACTTTTGTAGGTGGATCACGTGCAAATAGGCGAAACACTATTATCATGAGATCAACAATATTAGAGAACAATTATATAAATTAATATGTACCAGTACGTAGTGAGAAAATCTTAGCGTACGTACGCACATCCTGCTGATTTTCTTGCATATATTGATTATCGTCATCATTCCTATAGTTGACGTCTAGATTCTGTTAATAAACGAAAAGTCAGTACTCGTCAAAAGTTTCCCCGCACATGTAATTTGATATAATGAAGGCTTATTATTTTAAAGGTTTACATTAAAAATTTGTAATATTGATATCAAATATATGTATTTTATATTCAATAAAAAAATTTGATTTAAATTAATCAGATAGTTGTCGAGAAATTAAAAATTTGAAGTTTATCAGACCATAATACTTCAAATTTAAAACAATATTTTTTTTTAAATTTTTTTTTTATTTTAAAAGTTATTGATATAATCTCTTTTATACCAATTTTAGAAAATCTTTCAATCGAATTTCAAATTTTTAGCTCTCATTTAAATTCTGTTATAGAAATCAAAAAATTTCATATCGTCTAGATTTATTTTATACTACCGATTTTAAAAAAATTTTCAAAGCTTTAATGCTTCGTATGCTGAGTTGCAGATGCGGGGAAACCTTTTGACGGCACTGTATTCGCGTAAGCATGGATCACGGATTTCTTACCTTCTATCGTTAAAACTTCTTGTAGCCTCTCGAATAACATCTTTTCTATATTCCTCTTATTAGGTTCATCGGTTTTATCATAATCGAATTGATCAAATATTGACTTGCGTGAAACAACTACAGTATCTTGTGGCATTTAGGTCCTGTTTTCTTATGTGATTAGCTAACGTACGTACGTAGGAATAAATTTTAACGCAAAAAGAAACCATCCTTACTGTTAGAGTCGAGGTTACCTTTTATGATCCATAACTTGAATTGATAAATGTGAAAAATTGACCAATCACAGCTTAAATATAATCCATGAGTAACACACGGTTTATACATTAAATAATATTAAGATTTGACATTCAACCATTCAACTTCGTATTGCAGTATTGATCTCTTACCATGTGACCGGCTGCAACCATACACAATCTCAAAAAAGCATTCCGTAGAATCTTAACCTGACAATATATATGCAGAACTTACTATATATAGTTCCATTTTTACATATGTTACCCAGTCGCCGACTATATAGTATTTTCGGTGTTACCGCATGAAAAAAAATTTTATATAACATTAAGTTGTTACGTAGATGCATCATCAAAGTACCATATAATAATAAAGATAATTAAAACTTTGCAAAATGTCAGCCTCCCCGGAAGATAACGCTTGCGACTCACCATACTCTTCGGTATCGGATGACTTTACGATGAACAATTTATATTTTTCTTCTACAAACGACGTATCTCAAGATAACCCACCAACTTTATTGGATCCAAAACTAGAGGTCGTTGACTCGAACACGCCTTTGTTTTTTTTAACTCTAACTCCACAGCAAACACCAACTCGAGAATTGCAACCCCCGGCTACTCAAAACGATCCACAAGTTTCTCATTTTCACCAAACAGTCTTCAACTCTTCTCCATTGGGTGACATGCATCAACAATCAATAAATAATGTAATCCAGTTCTCGACCATTGACAAGCCTAGTACTGCTACATCTACTATTATTATTTACATATTTTTACTTTATTCAGTTTATGTCGTCGTCGTTTTCACAGGGAATACCAAATTTTGCTCAAAATGGATTAAATTATCTCGAATATATTAATGGGACGGACAACAGCATGTAGGCTGAGTTATTTTAAGATCCTTATAGAAACTAGAAACTTTTATTTGTATACATGCTGAAAAAATATGTTCGTCTTTTTTCACAAGAGAGCCAAATATTTCATCAACGCAGGCCGATCGACAATGTCAGATGCAGGATATCAGTGATAAAGGGTTAGTTTTGCTCTGATCAAATATATATATATATTATAATTTTTTTTTTTTTTTCGTTTTTTTTAGTTATTCGTCCTAAATTATTTGTTAATTCTTCGCAATGATAGGCTTCAAATACGTGTTCTCGGAGTTCCACAAACTGGTGCAAAATCTCGAGTAGAAACGCAAATAAAATTGTGCCTACAACTTGTAACTGATAAAGGAGAAAAGGTTCCATTATGGTCACATCTAAGATTGCCTGAATACATGGTTGCCAAAGAAAAACTTAAGACAAAAAATGCGAGGAATCCGCAGGATAGCGCCATGAACATTTCAGAAAAGGGTGTTTTAAATTTAGAAGCTACGGTTGTATGTGCGAGTGAAATGCCAAAAAAAGTACTCACATGCCTTGGTTGTGTTCAACGTGAGGTAAATTTTATATGATCAATTTAAATATTCTGAAAACTTGGATATTATTTGATCAAGTAATTATAATGAATTGAATTAATAGAGAAAAAGATCACAACGTAAAAAAGAAAATAAACACTCCAAAGCTAATCCAAATGCTACTTCTAACGATGATTCAAATAAACCGATGGATTTGGATGATGAAAAAACAATGCAATTGGAGCAACGCAAAATTCTTTTGTTCAATTGCAGTGAGATTGTAGATTTTAGTAGTGGCGATACCATCTTACCGACAAGGATCACTTGTTATTGCCGCCATCATAATGAGAAAGTTGGATTTTGGTAATGTATAATAAATATTTCTATATCGGCTATATATATCTATATGTGATTATATTTACTTATTATTCTTTTATATTTAAATTTTTAGTATATATTTTGTGATGAAAGATTATGCTAATACGATTATCGCGACAGGAATGTCACCTCCTATTATGATAACAGACGATCACAAGTCATCTAAAACTAAAGTAGGCGCTGGACGAAAACGTCCAAAGGCAGAATATGATCGTCGTACAAATGCGGTGGCTAGTAATGCTGCAAATTCTACAAAGAACAAAATTAATAGCGAAGTATCAAGTGTATCGTCATTATCGCCTACTCCAAGTGGTGAATCACATGTAACATCGTCCGTAATATCACCGAACTCTAAATCATCTGAGGTACCATCGTCTCCATCAACCCTCGCCCGGAATTCAGACTCTATTTCGCCAATAAAACAAGAAAAAACTAGCACAAACAGACAACAATTACAAATTCAGTCATCACTGACATTTCAATCTCAATCATCACCTACTTCACCTTTATCACCTGTGTCACCTGTTACCCCCATCACAACTAGTGTACCAAACACGCCTAATGTACTTAATGCCCCTCGTACTTCATTTCCAAACACTGATCAAGTTGCAACTATAGCTACATCTAATCCTCAAGCTGTATATCCTATTTTAGCTAATAATAATTCATCAAATGTTGTTTTATCTATGGCTCCTGCACAGATAAACAGTGTAAGTGTAAATTCGTTATACCAACAACAACGATTGCATCCAAACATCGGCGGTATCGGTCATTTTAATGTTGTAAATCCACATCACAATGGGGGAGGTCCCATGCGAATACACAATTCACACAACCACAGTACGATGTTGAGGAGGCCTTTCTATAATGCTGCTGGAAATACAATTTATTCAAATAGTACATTTAATGGGTTCTCATTACCAAGGATAAGCAGGTTGATTCCTTCAGAGGGTCCTACATACGGTGGTGTTGAAGTGACCGTGCTAGGAAGCAATTTTTATGGTTTGTTTATTGTCTAATTCTTTTCATCTTTCATCAATTATTTAATTTTCATATAATTTTTATTAACATTTGCTCTTTGTAAATAAGATGGGCTTACATGTGTATTTGGTGAAACACCTGCAATTCCAACCCAATATTGGTCACCAAATACACTTGTTTGTCTCTTGCCCCCTTCACCTACTCCTGGACCTGTTGTTGTGAGCTTTAAGGAATTTCCTATTAATATAACGGATAATTCTGAACAAGAAGTTGTTTTCTTCAATTATAATGATGGTAATTAATTCTTAAATAAATATAATTCACTTTCGCGTTTAACTTATCATACTTTACTTTTTAATACAATTTAGATTCGGATCGTGCGCTTATGGAATTAGCACTTCAGGTTGTAGGAATGAAAATGACTGGAAAATTAGAAGACGCGAGAAACATTGCCATGCGTATTGTTGGAGGTACCGATAACAATCAAAGTTCGGTCAACAATTCTAATGGAGATATGAATGGAATGCAACATCATCTCTCCTCATTCGCACGTCAGGCTTCAAGAACAGATGATTTTGAGAAACATGTAATAGCAACACTCTCCTTGATGGATACATTTGAAACAGAATATGACAGTATATCCCTTCAAAATCGTCAAAATCACACCATGCTGCATATAGCTGCTATGCTGGGTTACAAACGTCTATGTACGTATCTCGTTGAAAAGGATATTGATGTAGACATGCAAGATAAATATGGATTTACTGGTACGTGTGTTTTGTTTATAAAAGGATTATGTTAAATGTACACTTATTTATAAATTACGTAATTTTAATTTGTATAGCACTGCATTATTCCGCATGGACTGGAAGAGAGGATATTGTGAGATTACTTTTAACGGGTAAGGTTTTTTTCCTTTATGTTAGTAACGTAATAGTAACTTATTAATAAATAGGTAACCGATCTTTATCATAACAGCTGGTTCCGATGATATTATACTTAATTCCAACGAGAAATATGCATATGATTTGGCTGCGTCTCGAAACTTCCATAATATAGTTTCTCTGATTGCCAATTATCGTGTTGATTCGGGGGTGTCTTTATCACCAACTTCATCTGAAGAATTTTCGTCTGAAAATTCAGATTATGATAGCTGGTATAATAGCGAGGATGATGAACTTAATTTGGATAATAATGCAGGAACCCAAAATCCAGTTGAGCCAGATCATGATATGAGTAACGTTAGCATTGACAAAGTATCATGCCAACATGCAAATGATAACGTGACACCTAATATATCTTGGGTTGACGCGGAAACGGCAAGTGGCCTATTGCATAAGTTGAAAAAAGAAGATGGGATCGTAGATGCGGAGGTGGTTGATGAAGGAAAAAAAGTTACTAAACACCCTTTGTGTGAAATTGCCACAGACCTGGCTACGGCATCAACTATTTGGCTCCAAAGAACATTTGCACATATGCATATGCCAAATATAGGCAAGCCGCCACAAATTAATATTCAATTGCCTAACATTAAGATGCCAAACCTTCAAATGCCTAATCTACAAATGCCAAACCTTCAAAACTTCTCATCTCCAAAATTTTCCACAATGACTTTCGGAACTAATTTATCCATTCCACGACCTTCCATACCATCTATGCCTTCATTATCAATGAACATTGAATTTCCTACCTTACCGACCGTAACCTTTCCAACGATGATAATGCCCACTGGATTTTCAAATCTTGTAAAGGATGAAAAAGACATGTCTTCTGGAGCTGAGATGTGTGATATGAAAATGGAAGGCATACCACAAAACACCTGGGACCATCACAAGAAGACATTATTTGGTCAAGGGGAACCACAGCAGCAAGCTGATATGCCATCTAAAGATATTCCACATGATGAAACAGTCTTTACCCGATTTGGTTACCCATGGCCTTTTAATGGTTCACAACCAATAGTCCCAATGTATCCACATCAACCAAATGAAACACATTCTTCCAGATCTGTGAGCGTTTCACATGCTAGCCGTCGAGTTGGTTATGATATTCAAAACTTGAATGAACATCAACTTTCACGTGTAGAACAACATACAGAAAAGTTCCGAAGGTTGAAACAGGATAAGATGTTATATTTATTTTGGGTTCCTATCTTTTGGGGTTTGTTATTCAATTTCATTTATTCTGATGATTTTTTTTTTGTTTTAATAATGTTATATATCTTATATTTGTTTTTGTTTTATTTAGTGATGATTGCATTAGCCATTGTTCAGTTTAGCCCTTTTAGCATGGAATTTATTATATCTTACTTCCGCTGGCTATAGGATAATCTTATAAATAATATTTAGTTTACATCAAAAAGCTCTGTTGATTGTATTATGTATTGTTCATTATTCCAACAGAAATTTTTTGTTTTTTTTATGTATTTCAATTTGGAAACAATTTTCCCTTGTAATTATACATTATTCTTTTTTTTTTTAAATATAGTTTTTCATCTTTTATTTGACATTTTCAAACTAGGCTTTATTATGAAGAATATTGCATGGACTTTAATTATTTAAATGGCCTAGTTTGATTTCGTGTTTATTAAATTTTAAATATTTCAAAATAAAATACTTCGCAATATAGAGATAATTCAAATTATAACAGTATATTTAAATATATATTTTAATGTACAATCCATCAGACTAAATTGACAATGACTAATTAATATAATATTAAACCGATTATCATTTAAAACTATTTTTAATATAATTCATTAAAAACCTTGGCGTCACATGATCATAATTTCGTCAATGTATACGATACGCATACAGTACCTCTCTATAGTCACCTCCTCTATAGTCACATTTGCTTATAATCACAAATTTTTAGGAGCACAAACTCTATAGCACCAAATTTTTAAAACCAAGGGTGTGATTATAGAGGTTTGACTGTACACGTTTGGATAAAGCGGACACAATGGGTGCCTATGCCTCTAATGCAATATTCCTCAAGACATTAATTTAATTCTGTGTTTTACATTTCATTCTTCCTTTCCTCGCTTTCTCCTCTCAATATCAATATAAGGGGAATCGGTGTATTAGTAATAATTATAACTAATAGTTTAGGGGTTATTTTTTATACCCCTATATTTATTATTAACAAACCAAAATTTTGAGCAAAGATATCTCAACAACCACCGATCAAATTCGATGAAAATTTTTTTATTTTTATTCTATAATTTAGAAGATTCAAATAAAAAAATTTTCAGCGAATTTGATCAGGTGGTTGTTAAGATTTCTTTGCTCAAAATTTTAAAAAAATAAGGATTTTATTTTTTATCGCCATAACGATGTATCGCTACTCCCTGATACTTAGTTGTCGCGACGCGTGATGTCGGGGTTTCAATATTACTAATCATGAGCTGAGTTTGAATATTGGAACCCCGAAATCACTTGGCGCGACAAATAAGTTTCGGGATTTTGATTTGACTTAGACCCGGGTAGCGAATGCGATAAATTATAAAGTCCAAAAAACAAAACTATTAAAATAAATTTCTTTAAATCTTTGAGCGAAGATATTTCAACAACCACCTGACCAAATTCTATGAAATTTTTTATTCGAATCCTCTAGACTCAATTAAAATAAAAAAAATTCATCGAATTTGATCAGGTGGTTGTCAAGATATCTTCGCTTAAAATTTTGAAAAAATTCAAAACGCCTATCAAAATAAAGTTGCACCAAATTTTTTTTTAAAATTGAGCGAAGATATTTCAACAACCACTAATCAAATTTGATGAAATTTTTTTTATTTTGATTATACAAGTTTGGAGGATTCGAATAAAAAAAAAATTCATTGAATTTAATCTAGTTGTCGAGATATCTTTGCCCAAGGTTTAAGAAATTTTACAGTTATTTTGATAGACGAGTTTTTTTAAAACTTCAAACAGACATCTTAGCAACTTGATCAAATTCGGTGAATTTGAATCATCTAGACTCTAAATCAAAATCATCGAAATTAATTAGGTGGGTGTTGAGAGATCTTCAAAGTTTTTTTGTTGGGTAGTATGAATAATAAATGTAGAGTATAAAAAATAGCCCTCATAGTTTATTATACATTAATCAGAATTAAGGGTAGAGGGTATGTAGATCATTTTGTCATATGATTTTGTGATACAACGTGATTTTTATAAGAAATAGAAATAGGTTACTAATAAAACTTTTTACTGTTGCAATTAATTTTTGTTAAAT